ACAAGATAACAAAAGAATATATACTTTGTTTAAGTGGTGAAGACCAACCATATGTAAATATTGAATTATTAAAAGTTTAAAAAAAAAATAAAAATTTTTAAAAAAATTACATTGACAAATAAATTAATAAATACACATACATAAGGTAAGATTTGTAGCATTTTTTAAAATATTATCTATTTTTAATGTAATCCTTGCAATTTCTGAATTCAATAATGACTCAGATAAAGTTGTTCTATGTGGTGGATTGTAACCATAACAAAGAGATTTGGTAAAGTCAATAAAAAATGGTGAATCTGCTGCTACAAATGGTATCCCAGAACAAACAAACCACTGAATCAAAGCTTGATTTACATGTTTTATTTTAGCATCATCAATTCCATCCAAGTCAAAATAAGTGTTAATTTTTTTTTGATTATTCTTAGTTTTGATTTTTTTATTTGGATGTGTTGTAGTTGTTGATATTGGAGTAGATGTAGTTTCAGTATCCTCAATCTCCTCCTCACTAATCATATGTAAATATTCAATACGTATTTCTCTTGGTATTCTAGCTTTGCAATGAAGTGCTAAATGTGTTTTTAAAGCTTGTGGTTTTCCTCGTTTCCATGAAGTTGAGCAGAATGTACAAACAGCACCTTTGTGTGTTCTATGATTATCATCAATAGAAGTAAAGTATTGCCAAACTTTATCTTTTGGATGACCATTAATATTAATAATTGTATTATTGTGACTGTCCAAAATTTGATAAAATTCATTGTCATTATTAGACATATGACTTCCTTGATTGTTTTCTGCAACACTATTGTTACCAAATTTGAACAAATAAATTAATAAATATAATATATTCCAATGAATCAAATTAGTGATAATATATATAACAAATACCTTGCTAGTTCGGAATTTGATGAATTTGACATAATTCTTAGTAATAAATATTCGTGATAAAATTACATTAGGTGTAATTCAACAAAAAAAAAACCAAACTTCAATTTAAATATAAATTTATCACTAATGCAATAAATAAATGAATTATTATTATTAATTATAAATGTAATTCAACACAAGAGAAATAAAATGTAAAAGAAAGCTCACCTACAAACATTAAAAATTTTCCTTTATTATTACAGCAAAAGAAAAAAATTATTTTTTTATTATTACACAACTGATCAAATTTAGAACACATGACTTTTATTTGGGATTTGGGATTTGAACATTTTGGGATTTGGGATTATTTGGGATCATTTGGACATTTGGGATTTGGGACAGCTTTGGGATTTGGAACAGCTTTGGGATTTGGAACAGCTTTGGGATTTGGGACGGCTTTGGGATTTGGAACAGCTTTGGGATTTGGGACAGCTTTGGGATTTGGGACAGCTTTGGGATTTGGGACAGCTTTGGGATTTGGGACAGCTTTGGGATTTGGGACAGTTTTGGGATTTGGGACAGTTTTGGGATTTGGGACAGTTTTGGGATTTGGGACAGTTTTGGGATTTGTACCACTTTTGACATTGGGATTTGGGCGTGGGATTTGGGATTTGGGATTGGGACTTGGCCTTTTGAGTTTGGGCAGCAAGTATACTTGACGAACTGTTATTCCATTTGTTGATGATGAACATAAGCTGATTTCCTCCATTAATTCTTCCTGTTTGGTAAGCTCCTCCTATAAGTATAACAGAAATATACACATGAATATACATCAAGAATTTTATATAAATTAATTTGAATCAATATAAAAAAAGTATACATGGTGTCTTGAACACATACATGGAAAATTGACATCATTAGTAAAATCGCTTTGTATTTGCTACGACCACTCCAGGAAAAGGGAATAATGGCAGAGGCCAATTCTGTGGCAAGAAACCGGCCATCTGGGAGCATATTCAATGCATAAAGTGTGAGGCGAGTACCTTAAAAAAAGACAATGATAATAAAATTGTGAGTTCCTAAACTTATTGTAAACACAAACAATGTTACTTACTGATTGCTTGTGTGCAAAAAACTTTGATCTTTGTTGCCAAATCAATACTACAATCCAAATTATTCCGTAATATGGACACTAAATTAAGGATGTCTGATTGAAATGTTTTTTTAGTATCATTTATAGTATGTGTGGTGGTAGGGTTCCAGGGTGGCCCAGCCACTTCCATTTGCCATATTTCCTGGTCATCTGATAATCTACACAGTGAGTCTCGATTTAACGGATATTTTTTTCCAGAAAATTTATCCGTTAAATCGAGAGATCCGCTAAATCGAAACTTATGATCAAATCATGTGATACAAATTAAATGTGTACAAAAAAAATTTTTTTATTTTGTTGTATATACATAAAAAACAGAATATAACATAATAATAATAATAATATCATTGTCAACCCATAAA